GGTACTCCAGGGCAGGGGAGAGGAGCTCCAGGGTAGGAGGAGGTGCTCCAGGGCATGGAGGGGATGCTCCAAGGGAGGAGGAGGTGCTCCAGGGGAGGGGGAAGTGGTCCAGGGCAGGGGGGAGGTGCTCCAGGGCAGGGAGGGGGTACTTCAGGGGAGGGGGAGGTGCTCCCGGGGAGGAGGAGGTGCTCCAGGGCAGGGAGGGAGTGCTCCAGGGCAAGGGGGAGGTGCTCCAGGGAGGGGGTGAGGCTGCATAGCAGAATGTGCTGGTGGGTGGAGGTGTGCTGAGAGGCACCGACGCCTTGCCTGCCTTTGCTGGGGGGTGGTCCTTGCCCCTCTTCACCTTTGCCCGTGAGGCTGACAGGCTGGGGAGGAGCCTCACAGCTTCAGAGGTCATGGTGGTGGGATTTGTGTGGGATTTGTCCTACGGCCCTATCCCGTGCACAGGGGACACAGAAGCAAGAGCTTGTGAGGAATGTTCTGTGGCGTCGGCCTCCAGGTGTTTCCGTGAGTGTGGGTCTAGGCTGGGCCTTGGGTCCCGGCTGCATTTGGGCACCAGGCTGCATAGGCTGGCGAGTTGCCCTCTCGGACTGATGGGACATTGCTTCCCAGTGAGGCTGTGCGTGAGTTTTCTCTGGTTTGCGTTCCTTCGGGCTGGCTGGACACAGTGACTGTATGAGCATCTGTGCCCAGGCGTTGAGGGGCTTTCCTGCAGAGTCACATGGAGGGAACCCCAGGCCTGTTCCTGGGGCTGCCAGGTCAGGCTGACTTGTTGGCCGCACCCCCCTTGCTCACGCTCTGTGGGTTGACTTTGGTCATAGGGTTGGGCTCCAGGGGAGACCCCGATCGGCGTGTGGGTCGCCCCGTGCTGGTCAGTACCCGGGGTCAGCGAGGCCCTGGACGAGGGAAGGGAACGCAGAGTGCACGTGTCGAGAAGAGGAGGGCGGGCATGGGGCTGTTGTGCTGCAGCCTTTGTGAGGCCATGACACCTGCTCGGGGTCCTGGGGTGAGGTGACCTGCTGGTGTCAGGGGGTTGGGTGGCACTACATTCCTGTCTTCTGGGGGGCCCCCTTCCCGTTCTCTTCTTAGCCATGAGGTCACTTGCCTGGACAATGGGCCCTTGTCCTTCTGGGTGTCTGTGAGCGGGTAAGGGACGGGCCTGCGTGCACCTGCGTGTCTGTGATGGATGAGGGATGGCCCCTCTGTGCACCTGCGTGTCTGTGAGCGGGTGAGGGATGGGCCCCCACCCCGGTGTGCACTGGCCCTCGGCCTGTGCATTCCAGGCCCACGAGGGTGGCCCCTATGCGTGGGGACCATGCTTGGTGGCTTCAGCTTGTTAGCCGTGGGGGCAACGCAAAACCTTCAGGAATAACGAACTCCAATCCTTGCCGTTTCTGCCCGCAGCCCGGGATTGTGTCGCCGTTTAAACGAGTATTCCTAAAAGGTGAAAAAAGTAGAGATAAGAAAGCCCATGAGAAGGTGACAGAGAGGCGCCCTCTGCACACTGTGGCTCTGTCCCTGCCTGAGCGCGTGGAGCCTGACAGACTGCTGAGCGACTACATCGAGAAGGAGGTGAAGGTAAGTCTGGCCACAGGACGTGCTGCCCAGCGCTCACACCACGCTGCTCTGCCCGCTGTCCCGCCTCGGTGGCCTGTGGGGACTGTGCCCACGCTCCAGCCTCCTGCCCTTCCGGCCCCATTTCCGGCTCTTTCCACCAGAGCAGCCGCCTCCTTTCTCTTGAGGGTGGGCGGGCATGCGTGTTCTGTGTGTCATGGTCACTGCCTGAACCTTGTCAAATCCCGTGCTTGCCGGGTGGACACAAGCCACAGGGGGGCCGTGGCCTCAAGGTCAGGGAGGTGTGGAGGGGGCTCCTCCAGGACCATGGCCCCCGTGCTCAGAGAGGGAGCACGGTGTGCGGAGGGAGCACGGTGTGCGGAGGATGCATGGCGGTCCAGCCTGACCCCCAGGTCAGAAAGGCCTTGGGCCAACGTGTGTCCCTAGAGGGGGTTCCACTCTGGCCGGGCTGTCAGGTGACCAGGGAGGTGGGCAGTGTCCCCAGCAGACACATGGGACTGGGGAGGCTCAGATGTGGGGACACCTGGCACGGAGGAGGGTTTGGGCGACCCAGAGTGAAGACGGGGAGTCAAGCCGGCCTATGCACAGAGTGGAAGGTGCGTCCCCGCGGCCTGCTGTCTGCGTGCTGACCCGGTTACCGCCCCGCTGCCCATGCACGGCTTCTGTCAGGGGCTCTGAGGTTCGTATACATTCGAGGAAAGGTGACCTCAAGATGGAGCCCGAGACAGGCACAAGCAAACGTGGATGTGACATCAGCCGTGCAGGACACAGTGGGAAAGCGGAATGTTCTGGAAGAGGTAAGAGGAGATACTGCGAACTGTGAGGCAACAGGATCCACTTTTAAATAAAGGGCTGAAGACCAGAGCCTTTGGGACAAAAGGATGTCAGTGTGTGTCTTGTGGACAAAAATCAGGAGAGGCACCAGGAAAGAATAATGGGAAGATGAAGAGATAGGAAGTTTGTCAACAGGAGATGGAATGGGAGCCAGAGGAGATGAGAGGTCGGTCCAGGAGGCCCATCAGGTGTGGTGGAGGAGAGGTGGCCTCCGGACCATGAGGTGGGACCCGTGCCAGCCACCAGTGTGACCTCGTGGGACACGGGCCCCCGTTGGGAGGGGACACAGTGTGAGGGTGGAGATGTGGGCCCAGAGCCTAGGCTCCAGCCCAGGCAGGAGCCCAGACCCCTGTGAGAGTGTGTGGACTGGTTGCGGCAGCACCGGGACAAGGGACAGGCTGGTTTTGTGTGGTTGCAGGAAGAACTGGGAAGAATCAGAGCCATGTGAGGAAGGCAGAGCAGGTGCTGGGGAAGGTGGCCTGCATTAAACCACAGAGTAAGGTTGGGGATTTCTGCCGCATGTCCTTGTCCCTCTTACCATGACGACTGAAGTCCTGGGCGTCATCCGTGCAGTGACAGTAAGAAAGCTCTGCAAGGTTGGCAGAGGGCAGAGCCCCAGGGGCCTGTGGGCCCGACAGGAGGCCCCTGGTATCTCTCTCTCCACCTGAATCCCAGGCTTGGAGCCGAAGAGGCTGGCAACCCAGAGACACCCACGGGTGCGGACACACCCCAACAGAAGCCGCTCCCTCTGGCCTGAAGACCAGGAAGGCGATGGTCTAGCAGAACAGACAATATCTAAGAACAAACATGGTGGGAAAGCCTGAGGCCCCAGCTCTGCCCCGCCACCGAACAAGGGTGAATGGGGGCCCGCGCCCTCCCTGGGAACAGGGACTTTCGCCCCCGATGAACCCGGGGGACACTAGGGTGTCTGGGGGCCCTGGGGGAGCCGGAGCGTCCTTCATTGCCCAGTGGGAAAGAGGAGCGCCCTGGACGGCCGCTGTGGGACCAGAGCACACTCCCAGTGTGGGTGTCGTTAGAGTTCTGGAGGGGGCGCCGAGAAGCTGTTTGGGGCAAAAGACAAACCTAGAGATTTGAGAAGCCTAGCACAGCACGAGTGGTTCACACCCACACGTCATCAGGGAACTTCTGATGAGCAGGGATGGGGAGGACCATGTTGTCCACAGGGAGAACGGAGGACAGCAGCCACGGGGCCCAGGGTCAAGGTGGAAAATATGGCGGCCAGCAGGTGGACCGCCTCCTTGAGCCTCGCCACATGTAGCAGGAGGACAGGGTGGTTTGAATCGCGCTGTAGCTAGTGACCATGCTCAGCGGCCCATCCAGAACCTTCCATCCAGAAGCCTCCAGGCCCCCGTGCTCTCCCTGGAGTGCTCTCTCCGGCGTTTGGAGAATCGACACCAGTTCCACACGGTGTCTCCCGGGAAGAATAAAGGGGACAACTTCCTTTGTGAAGGGACAAGGGGCTGGCTCAGTTTTCCGAGGGAGCCACAGCCCGAGCCTGCACCTGTATGTACGAAATGTCACTTGGAACGGGCAGGGCCGGCTGACACGAACCTGTCCCTGGGCCACATGCCAGGGCTGACTTAGCTCCCTCACGGGACGGCGCCTTTTGGGACCACAGAGTCTGCTGCCGTGATGAGGACTGCTGTGTGCTGGCATGTTCCCGGATACTCGAGCCAAGCTAGAGCCTCCGTTTTCCGTCAGCTCCATGCGGGCATCGTGAGGCCATAGGGTGAGCTAAGGGGAGCCCCGCGCGTCTATGGGGTCCTGGGGCTCTGCGGTAAGACCGTGATCGTGCCTGGGCATGGGATGTGTTTGCCCAAAGAGCAGCTGCCAGCTGGTGCTGAGCTGGGCTCAGCTCTCACAGAGAGTCTGTCCGGTTCACTTGTGCGGGCCACGGCCATAGCCACGTTACCAGGCACCAGTGGTTTTGCAGGAGCTGGGCACAAGGCGGGGCCCGGTATCCTGGAGCCATGTAGGGCCTGGAGGGCAGCACTTCTCTGCTTTTGCGAGTGGCAGCGACCTGTTCTTGCTTTGGTACTGTGGCCAGGGACAGATGTGGGATGAATTCCAGGGGCTTCCGCGCGGCCGTTTGTGTGCCAGCAGCTCCTGCTTGCCCGTGGTACAGGGGACGTGGGTCTGGACCCTGAGGTCGCGCCCTGTGCTCACCTGGGCCCGGCCCCTGCGCGTTGTCCCAGACCTGCCTTTCCAAACCTGTGAAGGGTTTCCCGTTCCCCAGGGGGCCCCGGGGTGCCCCGGGGTGCGGCGAGTCTGCCTGTACTGTGGGTGCCTTCTCCTGGGACTGCGTCTCCTCTGGCCCCGCTTCTGGTCTGGAAGCGGCTCACGTCCTCTGTGTGGTCCGTGTCTGTGTGCTGTGCATGCGCGCTAGGTGGTGCCCCGGCTTTATATCCCCGGCTGCTCGGTGCCGTCTGACTGCTCCCTGAGTCCCATCGTCCCCTCGCTCCGGGGTGTCTCATGCAGTCACCTGCACCTTCACGGAGCCCCTTGTGGTGCCGCTGCCTCCATTCCAGCGCACCTTCCAAAGCTGGGTGTCCATCTGGCCCCCCCAAGGGCCGGGGATAGCAGCAGCCTGGGGGTCCCTCTTACACGGGGGGCCCTGGCCACCACAGCCACAGTGCAATGTCGCCTTTATTGAGTGCGGCCCTCACTCTTGCTGAGCTGCTGACAGCCGGACCAGTGGCGTTTGTGCCGTGGGGAGAGGCCCATAGCCCGTCAGCGTTCAGTCTCCAGACGTGTTCTGTTGCGATCTGACTGAGGCCAGACCCCGGAGAGGGTGAAGGGTCGTGAAACGTGCCCATCCCATTTGAGGCCTGAGTGTCGTTGCCCAGCAAGGGGTGTGTACATGCCTGTGTGTGCATGTGTGTGTGGGGCGGGGCGGGGGTTGTCTGTCTTCCGACAAGTGGGGATGGGCCACTTCTGCAGGCCTGGGGCATCGAGAAGACATTTAGGTCCCCACGTGCACCTCCCTGTGTCCCCCTCCCCGTGTGAAAGCCCTGCCCTCCTGCCAGGCCGGCCCCGCCTGCCATGGGGTATTGCCGATCGAGTCCCGCATGGGGTGGACGTTGTCAAGAGGCCAGCCTGGGGTCAGCTGCAAATGGACTTGTATTGTGTCCCGTCGGCAGAGAGTTTTGGAAGCACCTTCCGTGTCTGGAACGTGAGCTTGCCAGCACACACCGCTGTGGTCCCCGTGAGGGTGGTGGGAAGGCAGTGGGGTCAGTGGTGCCTGACACGGCCTGGCTCTATCATCTTGCCCCTCGCTGGTGCCAGGCCACCGGGCACATGACTGCCAGTCAGACGTCCCCTCGGTCTGTCACGCTTGATCATCTTGGCCCTGCTGTGGTGGCACCCTGGGCGTGCTGTGGGTATGGGCCAGCTGCCGGGCCTGCAGCGGTGGCCAGGGAACTTGCAGGACCTTGGGAAGGGTGTGGTGAGAACTGGCCAGGCCACCCTGTTTCACCAAGACCCACTCGACCGCGAAGAAGATCTTGAATGAGGACTCACCTAGGAAGGAAGTAGACTTCTCTTTGGAGATCCGCTGGCCTGAGTCTGAAGCTTGGTGGTGCTAAGAGGAAGGGAGGATATGGGCAGCGTTGTCCTTGCCCCCCCCCCCCCCCCCCCCCCCCGCGGCTGCAGGGAGGCAGGGCAGTCCCCGCGATATCCCGCACTCGCGGAACTGGGACACGTTCACTTCAGCCAAGCACTGAAGCTAGGAGTGCTAGTTAACACCCAGTATCATGTTGATGGTGATTCGAGACATTTCTAGCAAATGAAGTGAGTAAAATTAACACTGTCATTTCTTATCCTGGTAAAACATACACGACAAAATTTGTCACATTAACCACATTTGAGTGTGTGTTTTGGTGGCACAAAGGACACTCACGTTTATGTGCAGCCCCTGCCACCGTCTGTGTCCGGAACATTCTCATCTCCCCAAACTGAAGCTCCGTCCCCATGGAACCCCAGCGTCCCGGCCCCCGGCACCCCCCATTCTGCTGTGGGACCTCCGATACGTGGAACCACGCAGTGTGTGTCCCTCCGTGTCTGGCTCGGTCCACCCGGCGCCACGTCCCCCAGTTGTGGCTGTGTTGTTGGAGGTGTCAGAGTCTCTCCTCATGGCTGGGTGCGTGCCG